TTCTCGCATACTGAGTGATTCAGCCGAGCGTAGCCAATCAAAGTTTTTCAAATAGAACACCCAGTACCTATATGAATACGTCATTCGATTTCATATTTTTTCAGCTCTCTGAGGAAGTTTTGTTTTCGAATTTCTATTGCGGCTTTGCCAAGTCATTCCATAAACACCTATTTTGAAGACAATATTTGTTCATTTCATCACCCGCATGTCTACAGCAATTAAGTGGATTTTTTTAGGAATAGTTAGTCAACATCATACTATGAAAATTTCGGAAATCTCAACTTTCGGAAACAATATATTGGGTGCCCGGTACAACCGGTCAAGTTTCATTCATTTTCAAACAGACATAATTCAACTTTTTCAAATGGAACACCCTGTATTTTTTCATTTATATGAAATGTTTCAACATTTCACTATATTTTTTTTATCAGATGTATACTATACGAAAAACTGATATTTTACAAATTAAACCAAGGTTTAATAATTGTATTTTCTTACGTTCACTTAATCAAATTTGTTTTTCGAATTTTCAAACTAATTGCTGGTATATCAGCATTTTTTATATCATCTAGTGATAGTTATCAGCGGTTTCAACAGTAATTGTTCAGTAATTGTTGTAACCACAAAAAATATATTTCCTGACGTTCACTTACTCAAATTTGTTTTTCGAATTTTCAAACTAATCTCTAGTACATTGACATTTTTCATACCATCTAGTGATAGTTATTAGCGGTTTCCATGGTAAGAAATACTAAAGAATATTTATACTGTTTTTTTCTTTAAAAACCCAGTTATCCATCACTGACATCATAAAATGTATCTCGGAATTTGTCAATAACGCCATGTGTTGAAGTTCCTATCGCCTCTAGATTGAAACATTTTCATTATGAATTATATATTGGAAGATATGGTGCAAATGGTCTATGCTTTGGGGGAAAGTGACGAAAACTGCCTCCTTGCATTTAGGATTTACAAAGAGAAGTTCCCCGAAAGAAGACAACCAGATGAAAAGGTATTTCAGGCTCTAAAAACAAGATATGAAAAAACTGGTACCTGAGACCTGAGCAGGGAATAAGGATTTTCTCAAACCAGCGTGTCTCGAATGACACGAGCAAACAAATTTGATCCTTACCACATGCAAATTAGTTTCTACCGACAATAAGCTCTTACTACCCTCTTCTGCCATTTTTAATTTTGTATCGTTGGGACAAATCATATAACTCGAATTCAACCCCCACCAGAAAGGGCAGAGCTTTCCAAACACTAGAACAGACGCTCATCAGAAGGGAAAACACATCATTCTGTAGTATCTCTTATTCAATTTTGCCGATGGGGCTTAGAAAATATCAATCAGGAAAATGATTTTTTCGATTTCGTGTTACTTTCTGACGAAGCGACTTTTCATAAAAATGGAACTGTGAATCGGCATAACATGCATTATTATGCAATGGAAAACCCCCATTTTGTTCATTGCCTGAACCATCAACAGCGTTGGTCACTGAATGTTGGGATGAAATTCTCGGAAAAAGAGTAAGGGCATCTCACTGGAAGGAAATATGTAAGATTTCTTCGGCATACGTTTTCGAATTTATTGGACCGGGTTCTATGTAAAACAAGACTCAGAATGTGGCTACAACAAGACGGTGCAGAGGTAGGGATGGGCCTGTGTCATGGCCACCCAGATCACCTGACCAGACCAAAATGGATTTTTTCATGGGGATATATCAAATGGATTGTCTACCAAACTCCTCCAATATCTATAGAATACATAAAATGAAGAATCACTAGAGCTTTTAGGGAAATCCCGGAGGATATGCTGGAACGTGTGAAGAATTCATTTAAAAAAGACTGACATTGTGTATTGCAGAAAATGATCGCCATTTTAAATATCTTTTGGACTCCACTATTTTTTGTGGTTACAATTTGTGGTACAGTTTGTAAAATATCTGTTTTTCGTATAGTATACTTCTGATAAAAAATGTTTCATACAAATGAAAAAATACAGGGTGTTCCGTTTGAAAAAGTTGAAATATGTCTGTTTGAAAATGAATGAAACTTGACCGGTTTTACCGAGCACCCTATATATTGTTTCCGAAAGTTAATATTTCAGAAATTATCATAGTGATGTTGACTAACTATTCCTAAAAAATCCACTCAATTGCTGTAGACATGCGGATGGTGAACTAAAAAATATTGTCTGCAAAATAGATTTTTCTGGAATAACTTGGCAAAGCCGCACTGGAAATTCGAAAACAAAAATTCCTTGGAGAGCTAAAAAATATGGAATCGAATGATGTATTCATATATTGGGTGTTCCATTAAAAAAATATGTAACTTTGATTGACCACGCTCGGCTGAATCATGTAGAATCCGAGAAAATAATTTTAAAAAAATTATCGATATGACTGCCAAAAAAATTGAGCAATTCAAAAAATTGTTTTCCTTGATAGCAATGTACCGAGGAAATCTTGTTGATTCACCCTGTATATTTCTTCACGAGGACGTCAGCATGAGAGAAATCATCCATTCTAAATTGAAACTGAATATAGTTACTTTCATTCCGCTCAAAGGAATTGGAGTCAATGCCAAAGAAATTATTACTAACTGGGTCACATTCGGTTTAAAATTGTTTTTTCGTTCACCAGGTTTCATTCCCATACGACGATATTATATTAGGTTGTTTCAAAAGTTTTGTCCAGTTTAATGCCAATGAATATTCATTCTACTGTGTTGTGATACTGATTGATAGAATTTTGCTATACATGCTGTTCTTTTCTTTTAATTTTGAATTTTCGCCTTTTTTCAAATCATCACTATATGATGTTTGTTTGAAGGTGGTTGCCAATGTTTCTTGATGCATTTCATCAGTTCGGACTTCCATTGTCTGATATTATATAAATTGATTTGAAATCTCTGAGAGAATCTATTGGAATTCAAAAGATTAGCTAAAAAATATCAATTAAATTATGCAAAAAACAGAAATCACAATGAAGTAAAATACAATTAAAAATTGAACTATTAACAGGAAATGAAGATTAAAAATTATTAACAAGAAATGAAAATTAAAAGATTCCAAGCTAAGTTACTTCACGACGTTTCGATTGTTAGTATCCACAATCATCTTCGAGTGATGACTGGACTTATTCCTCCGATATCTGACTATTTATAGGTCATTCGAGTGCTTTCATCTATTCCCTCTTCCCTCCATCCGCTTCATCGGTTTTAGCGGGAGCTGACCATTTGGCGGAAGTTGGTCGTGTTTCGTTTGATTATGGGTTTCCATATGTTGTGTAGCTTGGCTGAATGAATAGTTGGACAACATATATGCGACTTCTTTGAATTTTCTCCCAAACCATTGTTTCTCCTCGTGGCTGATTTCAGCTTGAGACCACTTAATGTTATGTTGCCAAGTCCAAACATGCTATGCTATTCCTGATTTGCTGGTTTCTCCTCTCTTTTGCTCAGCAATACGAACTTTCAATGGCCTCTTAGTTTCATCGATGTATAATTCTCCGCACTCACAGGGTATCCGGTAAATGCAATTCTTGGAATCGCTGTCCGCGTTTAGTGGCCTGGTTTTCGTGAGGCTGCTACAGATAGTGTTCCCAGATCTGAAGCAGGTTCTAATGTTATACTTTAACCCAATTCTTCTTATCCTTTTCGATAATCCTCTGATTACAATGAAAGTACAAGTACTTGATGAAAGTACAAGTACTTGTTGTGGCGGCTTCTCGTCCTTGTGAGGCTCTTGATATCTTCTAGCCAAAGTCTGAGCCGCCATCACTTTGGAGTAACCATTCCGTTGAAGGTCACTTTTGATGATGCCTTCTCGAGACCTTCCTTTGTATTATAGAGCTCGAAACTACGATCTACTAGAGTCTTGATGATTCCACTCTTAGTCGATTGATGGTGGTTGGATTCCTGGTTCAGATATATAGATGTTTCCCATTTAGTGTTGGTCCTCTTCACCAGTCATCTAAAAATGACAAATCGTTGTGGACTTCTTTCTCCACTGTGAAAGTGATGGACGGACTTACGTTGTTGATGTGTCTCAGGAAGGTTTTTGATACAATTGTTATTTTTCAGCTAATCTTTTTAATTTTTATAGATTCTTTCAGGAATTTCAAATCTATTTATATCATATTAGATAATGGAAGTCCAAACTAATGAAATGCATCACTATATGATGTTGATGAGCGATTTTTGGCTAATCTTTCGGCCATGTTGTGAAGGACTCTCTCAATTTTAGTTTATCATAGTTTTATAACAATAGTGAAGCATGAGGAAATAATGTTTCAACAAACAACTCAAAACAAAACTGCCATATTTCATGCATGTCATATTTTTCTTTATTTCAGATATAAAATATTACGACGAGGAACTACTACTAGCACTACCACTCAAGACACAATTGACGAAACTTCCCCTATTCTCAGGTATGTTGACTGCGAAGTTAAATTTTTCATATTATAATTTTCAAATTTCAGAGATGAAACAACAACTTCTGCTCCAACCACGAATTCTACAAACCAAGTAACTCTCAAAAAGTACGTATCTACTTAACTGTGATTTGCATAGTTGTAAAAACATATTGATTTCAGGTATGTCAATTTCAGACGTGGTTCTACAACTGGAAAATCTAATAACGAAGAAGACAACATTGATTCAAAGTAAGTGAAGCTATTGAGTAGATATTTTTCAATTTTATCGGTACCATACCTTTACCGATATAAATCTGCTGTTATCATGATATGATTGTCACGATGTGTAGTCGAAGTAAACTTTATTGTGCACACTTAAAGTGGGCGACACTCTCAAAGGCCAAAAAAATCAATACATGAAAATGAACCGGCTACGAACTAGTCCACGTGGATTGTAGAATTTGCGGTTCATATTGGATAATTTTCACAAACCGAGTTTCATGATTGGCTGAAGAGTCATAAAATTGAATTGGAAGTCATGTTACGGTGACGAATAGAAATCGGGGAATGCGGGTAACGTTATCGCCGTCGTGTCATCAATGTTCAGTTCAGGAACTGATCGCAAATTGAGTGTTGAAATTCGATATTGGTGCAGTTATAATTACTTAAAATTTGTATTATCTGTTTAAGGTATGGCGTCCTTGGACTAAAGTACTAATAATCATAACGAGTGTGATAACAACGCAGACTTTTTCCGGTGTAGTGACTCCAATAGTAGTGGTGAACAATGCGAAAAAAAAACAATGAATAAGATTCGGATGCATTCGAATATTGAAACACAGAGAGTATGTAATGAACTATTACAAGCAACATCAGATTTGACCGAAATTCCTTCCTCAACTGTACGTAAAATAGTCAAAAACAAATCTTACGAACGCAAGACGCGATGTGATACAGGATTACCAAAACCTTCAGATATTCATCTGATAAAATCATTGAAAAAAACAATATACGACTGTTACAATATACATTCCTACAACTGAAATCATAAGGAAGAAATTGAATACTTTCGGCCTTAACCTGAGCTGCAATGACAAAACTCTTCAGAATTGGATAAAGAAACTAGAATTTAGATTTGAGATAATAAACAAACATTAAGCAGTTATGGAAAGCAGAGGAATAGTGTAATGGCGTAACAAATACTTAGAACAAATAACTAAATATAGACAAGAACAACGGACGAATCTCGGTATGACACTCACGACACAGTTACGAAAGGGTGGACTTATGGTTCGAGGATGTATACGCCTAACATGCCTGCAAACAAAGCCTCACGACTAATCATTGTGCATTGCGGAAGAAGTAAAGGATGGGTTCGGAATTCTGTGAAATTATGTGGAAAAAACTTGAGAACTGCAATGTTGTTTCAAGAATCACTCAGATTTGTACTTACATGACTCGAGGACGAGGTCGTAATCTCCCTTGTCTCCAAGTCTCGTTACTAGTTCTTTGCTTGCTGTATTCCACTCTAAGTTCGCACTCAAGTGCGAGAGTGGAAATACACTGAAACTAGAAGCACACACGAAAACGCATGGACGTCACACATACACTTGCTTTATATAATCATTAACGCTGTAATACTCATTCAAAACTAAAAAAGGTTTTTGTCAATTTTAACACCCAAAAACTTTGTACTTTTCGACAATGGAAGCGGCTTATTATTCACATCAATATATAGTGGGTCAAGAATTTTTCAAAGATTTCATTGTTTGCTCGCATTTCCGTTGTATACTCATTTGGTCGGAGCCTGTTATATGATGGTCAGCTGCTGGTGTGACAATCAGAGCAGAATCCTTCTGTGAAAAAATCGCCGAAATGTACCGAAAATTGCGTCAGCAGCGGCTGGCATTGTTCAACAGAAAGTCCCATCTTGCTCCACGACAACGTTCGTCCGCACGTTTCACAAATCACCGTCCGAAAGTTGAACGAATTAAACATTCCCAGACCCATCGCTAACCGATGGTAGAACTGGTAGAACTTTCGCCAATCAGAATCAGGTAAAAATGGCCTTGGTCGCACCCAATTTTTATGCTGATGGAATTAATCGACTTATGATACGTTGACAAAAATGCATTGATTCAATTTCTGCTCATTTTGATTGAATTGAATTAGTATTCACTGAGATATTACAGTTCAAAGTAGACTTATAAAAAGGAACACAACTTTCGAAACAACCTGATACTTTCACATGACCATTGAATTACACTGAAGAAAAAAAAATCCCCATACGCCGACGAAACCTAAGATCTGCCGAAAACATACCCGCTGTCTGTGAGAATGAGTAGGAGAAACCGAGGCAGTCGATATCGCGTCGCTCACAAGAACTCGGCCTTCTGCAGACTATAACCTAACGAATTTTGCGACGTGACTTGGGCCTGCACCCATACAAAATTCAACTGATCTAGGAACTGAAGGTAAACGACCATAGATAACGACGTATGATCACTGAATGAGCTCTGAAGCAGTTAGCAACTGACTCTAATTTTCATTGAAAAGCCATCTTCAGCGATGAAGTCCATTTCTGGATGAATGGGTACGTGAATAAACAAAATTGTCAAATTTGGGACGATATCAATCCATATGAGATTAAGAACGTCTAATGCATCCCGAAAAAGTCAGTGTTTAATGTGGATTTTGGGCTGACGGCATCATTGTTCCGTATTTCTGTGATAACGACGTTGGCCAGGCCATCTTTGTTGACGGCGAGCAATATAGGCCAATGATTTCCACTTCTTTTGGCCTGAATTGGGCGATCTAGGCACCAAAGACATGTAATTTCAACAGGACGACGCTACGTGCCACACAGCTCATGCCACGTTAGATATTCTGCATGAGCGATTTGAGGGCATCTCACGTTGAACTGCCATCGAGATCCTGCAATTTGAACCTCAAGTCTAAGGGAGTCAAATCTTGTGGGATTTTCTTAAGTCGCAGGTGTATACGAATGAGTCACAAACCACAGCGGTCCTCAAAGTCAACATAACCCATGCCATCAGCCAGATTCAGGCTGATTTATGCGCCAGAGTCATGGAAAATTGGATGTTTCGGATGCGCTCTACCCAGAGAAGACGTAGTGGACATTGGAAAGATGTTATATTTCACACATAATGGCATCAATAGGTCTTTCAAACGAATAAAAAATTTCGATTTTATCTCTCACACACACACACACATTGTTTTATTCAAATTTAAAGATGGGACGTGCTTAATCAAAGACCATTTACTTTTATATGAACATTGAATTATATAAAAAACCACCTTTTCCTATTCAGTTTGTACTCCAAACATTTGTTACGGAATAGAATCAGATATAATCCATAAGAATACCACACAATATAATGGATGGATGGAAGAGTTATGGCATACAATTTCACTTACATAGAACGCTGTCATGTCAGTTGGTTGATATTGTCGATGATATTATCTAGAGAACGGTTTTTGCCCCGATTGGTGCGATATCTCATTCGGGTGCTTTATTGAAATGTTTTTTGTGTCACTTCTTCTGAATTCTTTGTAATTTGTTCACTTTTCTACCAACCCTGTGTCCCACTTTTCATTCAATAAATACAATTGATGTAAGAATACTGGTTAGTATTCACTCTTCAACTTACTGAAACACATCACAGGTATTTTTGAACTCAGACAAATTTGATTCTTTCTCATAAGACATTTACTTCGAATCTCTGCGACTTAGTTTCTGATTGGTTATTCGTATGTTTTGGTGTACAATGAAAAACTGCTTGGGCTTCCTTTTTTTATATTTCTTTCATTGAATGACGCATTAGGTTGTTCTCAGTGAAACTTAAAGAATACTGTTGCTATTAGACCTGCCGTTAACAGATGAATAAAGTATATTGTAAAATATTTTCAATCTTGTACGTATCAACATTACAACATTCTCTCTCCAACATTTCAACACAAATAACTATTTTTATTCCAAATGGCGACGAGGGGGCATTTCTTCCAAATTCAATATGACGACACTATGGAAATATCGTCAAATAACTTGGTGTTGTGAGAAACTAAATATGAATATTGCTTATTCTTTGAGGAAAGTTGAGATTTCTCACCAAAACACGAACATTTATTTTTTTGAAATGCCAATTTTTACTTTATACAACCCGAAAATTCCAAAAGAAAAATATATTTTTGAAACCTTAGTCTTGATATGGTAATTTGAATATACATTTTATTATTTTATTTTGCAGTCTCTTGAGAGGATTTATTATTGATAAATTAGCTGTTCCCCAAATTGAAATTAAGTATTGTAGATTTGATAATATAGTGTTCAATGGTCACTTCTTCTGCATGGAACACAGTTGCATTGCACAGTTGCTCCCACTGCAGCTGGTAAAACTCGATTTAGTTTTCGACACTGAACAAGGTGATCACAACTCTGTTATCGAGTTTGAACCCGTTCAGCAAAAAACCCATATAAAAGCCGCAGAGATCCCTTCACTCTTGCGACAACACAAGGATAAGCCAATGCATGGGATCTTCTTAAATCTTCTTAAATATCTTGGCTTGCTTGCATAGCGCCTGACCTTTGCTTTCCTAAAGTCGAGTGGGCTGAAGTCGGAAACTGGCCTGACAGGATGGTGTCTTCAAGAGGCAGGTCAAACTTTCTCTTGAAAATGATCACTTGGTGATTGATACACGTGTTGAGGTGTTAAAAATAACAGTTTGGTGTTGGGACATAACTGCAGTAATATTCAGTATATATTTTTATTAGTTAACAATGGAAATTTTCACATATTTTGAATTTTATAGGATGACTATGAATATGAAGATGATGACGAGGATGAGGAGGAGGATACAAAGAAGTCGATTTGGGATAATTTTGACTATGACTAATTTATTTCACTCTAAGAGATTTTTTAAAAAGTGTCTATCTTTTTCGAGAATGTGGTTTCTAATTTGTTTTTTGAGTATTGGTTTGGAATGAGAATTTTTTATTTTGTGAGGTACGGTGTTATAAAATTTAGTTGCCATGAAAGAATATGCTCTTTGTGAAATTGACTTTTTATAGTCGTGTTATAGTCGTGGTTTCGTGATGATGCTTTATTTTTGCTGAAATGATACTTCACATTTGGATATATTGCTGCTAAAAGGAAGAAAATTAGTTTTTTCCAGATTCACTGTCAGGAGCCTTTGGTCAAACCATTTTTTGAGCAAGTGGAAATCTGTTTCTACGTTCTTTTTCAAATCAAACCAAGTGTCTGCCTCATAGAATATCGCAGTATCGTCTGCGTATCCAATTATTTTCCCAACGCTGTCCAAACTGAATGATTCGTTCAGATTTAAATTGAAAATATTCTATTTGTTTTTGATTGCTTATTGCATCTGCAATTCGCACAACTTGCATACTATTTCGAAGATAGCTTTCAAAAAGCGTTTGGCAGTTCCCTCTGATATCATAATTTTCTAAAGTTTGTAGGAGTAGTTGATGATCGACAGTATCGAAAGCCTTCGTTAGGTCTATAAATAGACGTAAAGAAGGTTTTCTTTTCTCCAAGGATTTATGTATCAATTCTGTCAGTTCAAGAATCGCGTCTTCGGTTGAGGTTTTTTCTTAGAAGCCAAATTGTCTATCTAAAATCAATTCGCATTCGGTTATAAATGAGTTCATTCTTTTCTTTAGCAATTTTTCGAAAATTTTTGATAGATGGGCGATAAGCGAGATTGGTCTATAGTTTGTGATTTCAGTTTTATCTCCTTTTTTATGGATAGGAGTCACTACTGCAGTTTTGAATGAGTCGGGCCCACACACCAAGTAATATACATTAGCCTGCGGGTAACAGGCGTTGGCCGGTTTCAAGCTAGATGTGTGGGAGAGGTGTCTCGCAAGAGCCCTCGGCGGTTACTCATCCAACGCTGGAAACGCTGGACCACACGGCTTATACAAAAAGTTGTTGATGAACCGCCCTATCCTGCACCTATACGGGTAATGGGCGCGACATCTTCGACATATGATGTGTGGTAGAGGATGCTCGAAAGAGTCCTCGACGGCTACTCATCAAACGTCGGAAAGGGAACTTTCCCAACATGAGTTCTAGGGGGGAGGTGAGTGCCCGCTCGCGGCTGGAGGCTAGCGAGCCTCATCTCCAACTGGCGTTGGCCTCTTAGGGGCAGCGGCTCCACTAGCGGGTAAAGGGATACAGGGTTGCGGTAATCCATTCATGGGTGCATTGCACCCCATACTGAGGCACTGGACGGCTTATGCTGTTCCGTGATCCTCGCCTGCTTCTGTACGGATCCGAGCGTTCGAGGTGTCGGGGCTTGCGGTCCTTCCGGGCTCTAGTATCCGAGTCTAGTCTTGAAGGGCACCAGGGCAGACATTTGAGGTGTCGGACCCCGGATGAACGGAGTTACAAGTATCCGAGCTTAGGACCCCGACCGGCCAATTCCGGGACCATATTCCCAACTGATTTGGCATGGTTGGCGGGGGCAGGTGTGCGATGCGAGCAGTCTCTGACCAAAGAACAGCTTAGTTAACTTGTACGAACGGTCGAACGCTGCGGATGGTCCTGTCTCTTGGTTAGCCACACTAAGTAGATGTAAGGATGCAACTCCGGGTTCGGTGTAGCAGGAGGAAGCCCTGCGAAATCCTGTTGGTGTGGGGTGAGGGGCGGTACCCGCAAGGATTTCCCAAAAATCCACCCCTCCACACCCGATCACATTCAACGCCCGGTGCGGTCGTATTTATGACTCTCTTAATGGCCAATTTTCCCCAAATCAACTCGATGGGATTGAAAACACAAAAATAGGAGGGAATTTTCAGTACCTATAGTGTGTCCATACTTTTCAGCAATACTCTCAAGGGTATACACTTTTTAAATGTTTTTGTCTGAAAAACTTCAAGTAGTTGGTTTTTGGTATAGTTATCTTCAAAATATAAACTGGTATCCAATTAAAAACTGTGTATTTCATCTTTCCTCGAATTTTTATTCGGTACTTTGATGAGCTGTCGCTTCCATGTTCTTATGATAGTCAACATTGTAGTCCTCGAGTTTTTCTCCACATAATTTCAAAGAATTCGGAACCCGTCCTTTACTTCCTCCGCAATGCACAATGATTATTCGCGATCCTTTGTTTTCAGGCATGTTAGGCGTACACATTCTCGAGCTATCAGTCCACCATTTCGTAACTGTGTCGTATCATACCAAGTTTCGTCCAAATAGAAAATTTTCCATTGTTCTTGTCTATATTTAGTTATTTGTTTTGAGTATTTGTTACGCAATTCCACTATTCTTCTGCTATACGTAACTGATTGACGTTTGTTTATTATTTTGAATCTAAATCCTAGTTTCTTTATCCAATTTGAAGAGTTTTGTCACAGCAGCTCACGTTATGGCCGGAAGTATTCAATTCCTTCCTTATGATTTCAGTTGTAGGAATATCATTGCTTTTGTAACAGTTGTGTATTGTTTTTTTTCAATGATTTTATCAGATGAACATCTGAAAGTTTTGGTAATCCTATATCATATTGCCTCTTCCGTTAATAAGGTTTGTTTTTGACTATTTTACGTACAGTTGAGAAAGGAATTCCGGTCAAATCTGATGTTGCTTGTAAGGCATACAATTAATCAACGCCCTGCAGATTATGCATTGATTCAACATCAAGGTCCGTCTCTAGGCATAATTTGTAACGTGTGGAATAATACGCACGTGAGCATCGAGTTTAACATACACATCGATTTTGGACGTTCGATAATAAAGAGAATTCCATATTCCGAAAGTGTTGTGAAGGAATGAAACGGCACGGCATGATTGCCGTGTACCGTTTGACAATCGTTCACTGCCGCTGCAGATAGTGGCGTTTGTGAGCAAATATAAGTTTTCCCAATCATTGGAAGTCCAGTTGCGTTCAAACTTAAATCATACAAAAATAATTCAATAAAAAAATATTGATGAGTTCATTCAGTTACTGGCCCTTTGTATTTATTACCGAAAGTTATTTTTCACATTCATATTCATTAATTTCAGGACACCTGCTTCAGTATCTCCAGAACCCGATGAGTCAACAGTACTAACGACCAAAGCGAGTGAAGGATTAGGGTAAGACACATTACACATAAATTCAATTACTTGAGAACTCATCCACCTTCATTGCAGGTCTACTACACCTGTGATAATAAAATCAGATAACCCGAATGAAATTGAATTGAACACTGAGGACAACACTTCTCCTACTCAAGAAACTTTGTTATCTCCTGATAATAATTTCAACGGAACTAATAAGAGCGAGTCAAATCTCGATTCTAATTCAGTTATCATTTCATCACCTGTGATATCAACTGAAACTAGCGTGGACGCTACGCAACCAGACAAGAGGCCACAGTTCTTAAAGTCGAGACCATTTTTAAAATCTTCGCGCGGAACAACACCAAAACCAATATCAATTGAAACAACGCCAAAGGTGAGTCAATCAAACTTAAAATATAGACTCAAGATAGATAATTCTCAACTCAACGAAAATACACCCAACAAGCAATATAGAACCAGAGGGTCGTCGAGATTTAACTCTGATAACTTATCGAGGCAAGATAAAGACGAAACTGTTATTCCACAAAAAAGGCGACTTTCGACAACTGAAAAGTATGTTGAAGACCATAGGAGCTATAGACCCTCAGAGCTGGCAGACTTATCATCTTTGACTGCTGTAGACTTTTCAAAAATCAAGGAACTTGATTTCGGAAGAATAACTCATCGAAGAAGGAGACCGGTTACAACTACAACTACAACTACAGAAGATTTCTCTGAGATAATTGAAACAAGTTCAAGACCACCATCTGTAACGAAAAAACTGACCCCATCATTCGGCAGATCTAGAAAATTCTTCAGAGGGAATTTGAATAAAACCCACATAGATTCAGAAGGGGAAACAAAAATCAAAACACTTCGCGGATTCGGATCTAGATCGACGAGAGAACCTTCAACAACTGAAATAACAACTGAAAGTACCTACTCTTCCCCAAAATCGTTTAGCCCACCTCCTCGAAATCGAAAAATAATAAGACGATTAAAAGTCACTACTACGACTCCAATTCCAACTCAAAAGAATGCAGATGATTCAGATGACAATATTTTGAATGAACGTTCAGATTTGTTCCCAAAAAATAGTGATTTGGGTTTTCAGCAAAATCGAGTTGAGGACGAAAATGACGATGATGAAGAAGAAGGAGAAAATATAAAACTTTCCGAATCTAATATAAGAGAAAACAGCGCAATCAATAGTTTTAGTCCTGATCCAAAACTGAGAGGCAAGTTAACTGGGTTAGAAAAATCATATATTCCGGAAAAGATTCCAATGAATGGCAAAATATCAACAATATCATATGGTATTCAGACAACCGATGACGAATTTGAATATCCAAGTGCAATAGTATCAACAGAACCAAGTGTTGTAGTACGAACAAGAAAGATCATTAGAAAATTATCTCCAACTGAAGCTACAATTACGACTAAAAAAGAATCGGATTCAGGTCAAACTTTTGGTCGTAGAAGAAAAGTAATACGTAAACTGAGGCCTATATCAGAATTCAACAGGACAGACAAGGATAAAACAAATGATAAGGAGAGTACAGAGGGGAGTAACAAAATCAAAGAGACTGTTATCGCTGTTGAAACAACTACAACTGGAAATAATCCAGAACACTTGCATATACCACTTCCAGATGATACAATAGAAACGACAGATATTAAAATAGATTATTCACCGTCTATTACAGAAACGACTACTACATCAAAAAAACTATTCCAGACTGAACCAACCGTTGATACAAAAGAAACTGGCAAACCAAAGAGACTATTTCGTCCCAAACTATATTCCTATAGAAACAAAAGTGAATCAAAATTGAACACAACTGATGAAACTGCCACAGATTCTGAAATAATTAGGATTAACAGTAATGTAAATAACGATGGTAACAAGAGAATTGCAACCAGAGGACGAAATAAAATTTTCAGGCCAAAAATATTCGAAACTAGAAATAAACTAAGAAATAATAAGGAAGAACGTATTTACTCAGAAAATCGAATTTCCAGTACACCAAGATATAGTTTCTATTCAAGGCTCCCTAATATTAAACCAAAAACTGTCACCGAGATTGTGAATTCACCTGAAACTGAAATTAATCTAGTTGAATTCGAGAAATTAAACACAATTGAACCTGTAGCGGAAAGTTCGACGGAGGGTCTTATATTTAATGTAAATGAATTCGAAACAACTGTTGAGCCTGAGAAAGTAACTTCAACTGAGTATCAAAGAATTAGTTCAACTGAAGATATATTTCTAGAAAATTCTACTGTAAATGAAGATTTAGATGAAGCTAAAGAAAAAGACGATAGAAACAAAGAATTTAATGAAAGTTCGGATGTTATTTCAGAGAGTCAAACTTCTACTGAGTATTTTTCAACAGAACCCACAGATACAACTTCAGTTACATATCGCTTCAGACGTCCAAATAATGAACCATACTTTAGGCAGTATCAGACTACCACCACGAAGGAAAAAACAACAGATTTAAATGAAACAGCTTTTATGTTGACTAGTATAAAAACGGGTACCGACGTGAGTAGCACAACCACTGAAATAAATGGTAGTGAAAATATCAACTATTCGTCAACAAGTGACATTTCTCCAATAGATGATGGTACTGCCGACTCTAATAATACTATCCAGGGAATAGAAAATTACACAGAAGCATATACAACTGAATACAATACTATTATGACTGATTTGGGTATAACTACAGATTCTCTAACTGATACAATTTCTGAAATAGATGCTCATGATACCGATGAAGCCATGCAAATAACAGAAAACTTGTCGACTCCGTATGATTTGACGACACTAGGAACCGTTGATACTAATAACATAGATAACGTTAACATCAAAAACACTTCACATGAAGATCAAGAAACCACAGAACTATTCAACAACTCTGAACAAACAGAATTTGAAACTACATCTTTGCCTGAAACCACAACTGACGGTTTGAGAGAAGTTATGAGCGAAATATCGAGTTCCCCCAGTTCAGAACCTTCTACTCAACCCCATCGAACATATACCTTAAGACCAGTAAGTTCTAGACCAAAATTCATTCCACCGAAGTTAAAAGATCTGAGTTTTGGAATTTCATCTGAAAAAGGTGTAAAGCCAAAGGTCAGTAAATTTGGCTTGAATAGATTTAAATCGACAACTGCAAGTGATTTGTTCAACGATGATAAATCTGATCCGTCAGTTTCAGAACAGAGCACAAATATTGGTCGCCCAAAGCTACCATTTAAATACAGTACTACCGAGAGGAACAGATTTAATAAATATAAAAAAGGCTATAATAGCAGGATACGTACAACAGAAAGTATTCAGATCCCTGACGTAAGTGAAGATAATTATGTTGAAAGCAGTTCAACCACCACACAAAACAGATTTTTGTACACGTTCAGTACCACACAGCATTATAATGTAGATTCAGATGATGATGATGATGATGATGATGATGATGATGATGATGATGATGAAGAGTTAGTTGAAGATATTGAAGACGAAGAAGTAGAAGAAAATGAGGGTTCAGAAGATGAGGAGAGTGACTTTCAACAAGGAATAGAAACAACACCAAAAACAATAAAATCTAAAATAACAACTTTTTCCAAAAACCCGGTTACCCGCCTACCCAATAAACCAATTTTCTCAAAACCAAGTACCGAAGATCCTAGAGTAGACGAATCATTGAAAGATATTGATACCGAAGCTATTAAAAATAGAAATAAATCACTTTTTTCGAAGAAAAGGGTCATGAACACGCCATTTATAGGTCAGTACTCATCTACAAATGCGATGACAACTGAAGTTGAAGAAACATCTACTGGCAGTGGTATTCAGTACACCAGTGATGATATAGTGGAAATGACCAAATCATCAGATCAATCACAAACTACTGAGGACACAACCATCCGGCACATTTTCGCAGATATACCTGAAGATGAAAATCAGACGACAGAATTATCAAATCCAAAAACAGAGACTACTACGAACAAGATTGAGAGACTTATTGAAGTGAATAGAATCATCAAAGTGGAAACTAAAGAGGAGCACGTGAAAAATCACTTAGTGGAACTGAAAACAAACCCATTTCCAATCCAAGACAAGGTAGGAGAAGTCAATCGAGTTACAGTGATCAAAGTAGTTGATACTGATGGTCAGTTGAAGAATGAAAAGGCTCCAATATCTTCAGTACACATACCAGCGAACTCAAGTACTACTGACTCAGCGATAAAGTCCTCAGTTGATATGATTATTCAAATAGCCAAAGTGCAGGAGATTCCTGCAGAAAATGGGAAAGTGAATTTGACCAACATCAGCGTAACTCTTAATACTTCAAGTATTCCTCTATCTTCAAAACGAGAAGGAAAAAGAATAGAAATTTTTGGTGTCGGAGGGAGCAAGATTGTGGATAACAAACATCACGATGAATTTGAAGGCAAGCCACAAATAATTGATGGTTTATCGAACATAAATATTGTTACTCCCCGACCCGTACATAATCTGGAATCATCAACAATTCCCTTGGAGGGTCTCTTCCAAACAGAAGGTGCAACACTTTTCAGTAAATATCCTCCTAATGGCGACGAATTGTTGGAGGCAGATCATTCGAAATTCGTTAGTGTTCGAGTTCCCCATCCAGATCAAACTTTAAAAACTAATCAGGAATCTGGAGAGAATATCAATACGATACCGATTAAGTTTTGGAATCAAGACGCTGAAGAATATGCTATGAAAGCTGATGTTGTAGAAGTACCGGCTAAAACCAACCTCGACACTATAAGAATAGCACCAATTAAGGTTCAGATGTCTAAATCGATTGCTAATAACTTGCCACTTATCAGGTTAGGCGGTAAAAGCTTTCCGCCAACGTAAATGTAAGGAAATCTTTTGCCAGATATAATTTATTATTTTTAGCTTTATTGTTACGTATGTATATAAGTTCTTGTTGTTGTTATGTGAATAGAACTACTAGAGAAACTGAAATGTAAATAATTTGCACCAATGTAATATACCAGCACGATCTATTTTTACTCAATCTTTTTTTTCTTCTTCAACAATATCCAAATATAGTTATATCGGTATATCTCATACATTAGGGGCATATTAGGTAATACCTAATACCTAATAAGTATAATTATAAATCAGAAAGAATAAATAATTAGCCATTGGTACAATAACCTTCAGTTACACTCATTAAAAAACAAGTATAAGATTAGTATTTTAGTGGAAAAATATTTCTATATTTGAAAAATACAACTGAGAATTCCACCCTAGAAATATTGTTAAATATTATAGAGCATATCAATATTGAGCAATGATATTGAATAATTATAAAAAAAAATATGCATTTATTTTTCTGTATTTTCGAGAGGTTAGTAGGGTATAGGTTGGAAATGTGAAAAAACAGCGATATGGATTCTTGTGCCGACGTAGCAATATTTATTTTCATGAAGGCTATTATGAACAATGAGTCCCTTCTGGAAAAGTTTCAGAAAGAGAAAAAACCTGCAAAAGTTTCAACATTAACACAAGAATGACTGGACCGATTTTCATGATTTTTGGTTTGTTGAATTTGTCTTCGCCCAAAATAGCAGGATAACTACTGAAAAGGTTGTTACATTTATAACTCCAGAACGGTTGGGCCGATATTCATGACTTTTGATAGCATAATATTGTAAATAAATCCTCTGCAGATGAAGAAGAAATCTCATGAGAGGTCCGCCGTATTCAGTGTTACCAGATCTACTACTTTTAGAATAGATTTTCTATTTTGGCTCTCGAACTACCGTTCTACTGTTGAAATCCACTAATAATTCACTTTACTTCCTATAATGATTGGTAAATAATTTTGAATATCGGAAATTACAGTGTATGTAGTATATTATCGGCCGTTTTTTATATCAATCTACGGTTTTTATGATACAAAATCTACTGCTGAGCATGGACATGACTTGGCAACGATAGTCTACTAAGAGCAATAAAATAGAAAACTAGAGAAATCACTGTTCAGATGTTTCATTCAGAAAAATATGAGATTACTCAAGTTGTCAAAATCATCTGAACGTTAAGTAAATGATGAAATTGAATATCAATCCTCTTATTAGAAGAAAAAATGATCGAAGACATATCTAGACAACACTTTTGGAAGTGTTTCATGAAAAATTATTCTAGTCTACAGTGGAAAACAAAGATAAATTACAGAGATTGCTGCTCAAGATTGAATATCAAAAGAAAAAACATGTTTTTTTCTTTTTCAACGTACAACCTACTATTATCTCATCATCACACTCAAGAAGTATCGTAACCAAACGCCCAACAAATTATATTTTTAAACCTTTAGCTATAATAAAAACAGCAATGAAAGTGAACAACATGATAACTTACCCTCTATCGATATATATGCCTGGTTTCAGCTTTTTCATTTGTAATTTCAATAAATCATTCGAAAGCATATAAAACAATTTTAATCATCAGGAAAAAGTCAATACATATCATGTCAGCATTTTTAATTCAAAAGTGAACATTCTTCACGATGTTGAAAAATTATTATTTTTATATCTAAACAAAAACATTTTTATTACTGAGCTTCCAATTTCAACATGGGTTACATTTGAGTTGAATTTTACTCACACTCATTACTTTTGAAAATTATTTTTGATTTTCTTATACCTGTTTTATGATAATAATGCCATATTCTTGTTTCCATCAAGTAGTCTTGCTTGCATAATTTCTTTCGGTCTCGTGTCACACAAGTCTCCCGATAGTATAGGATCCTTAATACTACCTTGACTGAACTGGTTAATTTATGAAAAGTATTTTATATCAAATTAAATATGTCAATGAATATATTGCAAATGGGTTAATTGAAAAATTTCAGTCAAGAATATGATTAATTAACAATTATAAAATTGATTCTTTTTAACATTTCACTGCAAAGTTTGCCAAATGACGTTTCACCTCTGACTCGGGGTTGATGGGCCACTATTTTGCTACACTATTCCAAGATATTCCATCTTTTGATACTATGAAAAAATTATGAATGTGTTGAACCGTTCCAAAAAAATATCATCAACTCATTAAGTACTAGAATATGATAAAGTAAAATGATGAAGCGTTTATTTCACTCATAAGTGCATTTTCTACTTTCAAAAACAGGACAGAAATGACCTCAGCTTTGTATTTTAGGACTAATTTATCTGGCCGTTTAGCTTATTTAACAGTTCTTGTAGAATCGAATCGTATTTTGCTAATAACTCAGCAATACTCAAAAATTTCCTCGAGAACTTGGATTATGGCTATCTGTCCTTTCGCTGTGACAAAGAAAGGCTAAATTACACGTTGAAAGCGTTAGAATAACATCAAGGAGTCTAGAGAGCACTGGCGCCAAAAATATTTTTCTCTCTTGATCATGGACTATTGCTCTACCCTTGCCAGTAATATATGGTGAAAATGCAATATTGTTGACACTAAACTATGATTCACTTTGATTCTTACTAGTAATTTTTTGTGACTGTTCTGAATACACACTGGAGTCGGGTGCTGTTATTTGCTATTCTCTGACGTTCAGTTTAGTCCAATTCTTCACTTTTAGAGCACTGTTTATTTGTTTTTACGTCAATACACCCGTCATTTTCAAAGTTCTGACTGATTTTAGCTAACTGTTTATTTTTTTTTCAGACTCTGTTTTTTCTTTCGTTTTTCGCTCCCACTCAGATATTTTCTAGAACTAAACATGTTGATAACTAACTTTCACAATTATCTTTGCCTTCATTTGCAGTTTCAATAAAAACAAAACTGCAAAAATGAAAGACTCAAATCAAAATCAAATCAAACGAAGAATGCCTAGTACAGCTTAAAAATACAAATCTGGGATTCCCCTAACGGTTTACAAAAAGCGGGAATTCCCCGAGCGTCACGAGCTCGCCCTTATCACCTTAGTACCTTGACTAAAACTGAGGCAACCGATGAATGCGTTCTAAAATTAACACTTTTCTTATGAAAACCTTTAAATCTCAACTATTCATTCGAATTTTTATATGGTCTCTGGTTGTGTTTACCATCAACTGATTTCAAGTACTTTCATAAAATCGATATTTTTTACTGAATTTTATTTAAAATGTTAGGTCACCGTGTTAGGAATCACACGTTAAAAGGTAAGACCTCGTTAGTCCTTAGCTCACACAAGTTTCTCTACCCCTGAGAGTTGTCGTTCGTATGGGGGCGACAGCTGATTAACGGAAAAACAGATTTTAAACAGAGATTTTTTCTGACCTCACATCCTTTCGGCCTGGAGGCCCCTGGCAATTTGCCAGCCTTGCCATCGTATAGTTACGCCACTGTTAACAGGGTACATTCTCTCTTTCCGATACATGATACATTGGCTGTTCAGAATACGACCTTTGTCACTTTTCGTAGTTGTCATACCACACTTTACTTTTTCCAGACTTTGGAAAGCATATAAAAATCAGTTTTTATTCATTCTATAGCCGTTCTCCAAGGCATGTTGAGCAACACTAGATTTTTCTGGTCTTCGAATTCAGATATTTGTTCTTTGATTAACCATAGGTTATGTTCATTGTTTTGGCGTTTCTGACTTGAGAAACTGAGGAAAAAGTAAAATACATTACTTTCACTTACAAGAAATCACAACAATATATGAAAACAGGTTTTATCATCTGGCTTAGTTTTATTATTTCCAGTAGATGTCGTATCTGAACGATGAACTTTCCACGTGAAAGTTTGGAATATGTTCCCCTCTTATAATAGTGATTTCAATATTTTATTGTAAGAAATATAAGAAGTACTTGGTGATTGTTCTTGGCTCATTAAAATTGGTAATGAATACATGTTTTGTTGAAACACCGTTTTCATTATAAGTTATGTTTTTTTCATAACGTTTTGAAATGGAAGTTGATTGTAGTGTTCTTTTTTCCATTTTGGGAAGGAGAAACATATTTTCTTTGGAAATGCTACTTAAATTAACGGTTTTTGGGTGAAAACACTAGTTTTTAACTCTATAATGAATTTGTGTGGAAAGAAAGGTGACTTATGTGTATTCATGGATATATTTTGTATCTGAAGAAAATACCTCACTTTCTTTGAGAGTGTTAATAATTTTTTCGTTGTTTTTTTCCAAGTTCACAATTTTTAAAAACGAATGAAGACTGGAATGCCAGAAACTAGTAGATTTCTGAACAGTAATCTGAACAACGAACATGTTTTTCATAAATCCAATTTTTCAGATCGACAGGAACCAAATGCCAGTGAATATTAGAAATTCCGACTTCCATTGTCTAAAAAAGAGGAGATTTGAAATATAGACCAGCCCAAATTATTTGGAAGAGTTGAATGATGAAAAATTGAGCAAAATGAATATTGGACAAACAAATTATTGTTACCCTGAGTAGGAATGAATTGATACAGGGGTTATCAATAAGTTAAATTTCAAATATATACAAATAAAAAAGGAATGAATACAAAATGAAATAATCAAGATAAATAAAGAATAATGCGAAAAAATCAAGAATAAGAAAAACTAAGAAAGGATTTCAAATAAAATCACTTGACTATTGTGAAGTAATTTGATTTGTTAGTATCTGAAATCGTCTGCAGAAAACTGTCAAATTTTGATGGTGGTTACCTGAAAACTAAGGGTTAGTGTTTATTGAATCAGTTGATTCTCTTCATTGTATAATTTGTAACTGAACGAGGAATTTGCTGGATTCTCTTTCAAAAAGTACTTCTAACGACCGCACAATTTTTTGAAACAGGGTATAAGAGCATTTTTGAATATAGAATTTATAGGCAACAAGAGTTACTCTACTCTCTCCTATGGGTCTACATTGTATTGTTAATTTATAATCTTATCGTTATGATATACGTTATGATAGCATTGACAACTGGCGATCTTAAGTTATTTGCCGCTGACTTGTAGGACATTTGATTAACCGATTTATAGGTAATCATGTTTCGAATATCACCACTTTTTCAAGAATATAACAGCAAGAGGTTAGTTTCAGACCTCATTTTTGTATT